GGGTACTTGTCTGTGTTACAAGGTGTGAAGTTGAGTTAGACTCAATGCCCGACCACTACAAAAGATAGAGAGAAAATTAAAGTCATTCCCTATGCTTCTGCCATAGGTTCTATCATGTATGCAATGCTGTGTACCAGACCTGATGTGTGCCTTGCTATTAGTTTAGCAGGGAGGTACCAAAGTAATCCAGGAGTGGATCACTGGACAGCGGTCAAGAACATCCTGAAATGCCTGAAAAGGACTAAGGATATGTTTCTCGTATATGGACGTGACAAAGAGCTCGTCGTAAACGGTTACGTTGATGCAAGCTTTGACACTGATCCAGATGACTCTAAGTCACTAACCGGATACATGTTTTTATTAAATGATGGAGCTGTCAGTTGGTGCAGTTCCAAGCAGAGCGTCATGGCGGGATCTACGTGTGAAGCGGAGTACATAGCTGCTTCGGAAGCAGCAAATGAAGGAGTCTGGATGAAGGAGTTCATATCCGATCTAGGTGTCATACCTAGTGCATCGGGTCCAATGAAAATCTTTTTGTGACAACACTGGTGCAATTGCCTTGGCAATGGAATCCAGATTTCACAAGAGAACCAAGCACATCAAGAGATGCTTCAATTCCATCCGCGGTCAAGTCAAGGAGGGAGACATAGAGATTTGCAAGATACATACGGATCTGAATGTTGTAGACCCGTTGACTAAGCCTCTCTCATGAGAAAAATATGATCAGCACCAAGACTCCATGGGTGTTAGAATCATTACAATGTAATCTAGATTATTGACTCTAGTGCAAGTGGGAGACTGAAGGAAATATGCCCTAGAGGCAATAATAAAGTTGTTATTTATATTTCCTTGTATCATGATTAATGTTTATTATTCATGCTAGAATTGTATTAAGCGAAAACTTAGTACATGTGTGAATACATAGACAAACAAAATGTCACTAGTATGCCTCTACTAGACTAGCTCGTTGAATCAATGATGGTTACGTTTCCTAACCATAGACATGAGTTGTCATTTGATTAACGGATCACATCATTAGAGAATGATGTGATTGACTTGACCCATCCGTTAGCTTAGCACGATGATCGTTTAGTTTGTTGCTATTGCTTTCTCCATAACTTATACATGTTCCTATGACTATGAGATCATGGTATGCGCTAGCTGCTGCTTGCTGTCCAAATTAGTATTCTGGTTTGATTTCTTGAACTTTCGAGGCATCCTAGTTTTTGTTGGCAAAGGATGTCAACCATGATGATATCTAGTGTGGTATACGGTGTCTCTTTGATAGATAGATAGAAATAGATGACTAATATCTTGCCACAGAACTAGTTAAGGGTCGCTAAAATTTTAACGGTTTAAAAGTTATCAAAAAATATGATAAATATGGAAGCATCTCTCTAATGTAATAAGATGATCCAACGGAGGGATTGTCAAAATATGCATCTATGTATCCTCAGCAAAAATAATAAGCATTTCAGCTCACTGCGACATAAATATATACTGAATTATTTGTTTTTTTGTCCAGGACACACACAGTCGTATTTTTTTAATCTCTCCATTGCATCATGTTATATTATAGGTGTGTTGGTTCAGTATTTTTTCAAAAAAAATTAGAACTTTTGCACCATTGAAACCCTTAACTAGTTCTGTGACTTCACGTTCAGTCCCATCATTTTATTTAAGCAAGCCTTTGTGCCTGCTGAAAGAAAAGTATGATGATTATAATTTTTGTTTACCGATTTTTATCGTCACCAAATAAGTACAATAAGAATTTTCTCTTCAAGATCCACATCACCTTCACCCTCTCTCTAAATTTCGAATAGTACTTTCCTTTTGGACCTATGCTGGTTTTAAAATTGTGTTCCTTCAGAACTTGGAAGGCCAATTAATTGTATATTGGTATGTAGTTCCACCAATTTCCGGGTCAAATCAAACTAAGACTAGATGTAATCAAGCTAGATAATTACATACAGGTGGCATCATTTTAATGCCTTGTGCAACTTTTGAATATTATGTTTGAAACATTGACAATGATGAGGGACACACTCTTTTGATTGGTACTCTTAATTAATTACATGTAACTTTCAAGACAGAAAAATAACTCTTTAGTTAGTTATGTTTTTATAGGGAACACTGTCTTATGTCCATTTCGTCTGTTGGCATGTTCAAACCTCGATCAACATGGATATATGTAGTACTATCTCAACCCTCTAGTCTAAGAGGGAAAATCATTCGTTCTCCAAAAATTGTTTACGTAATATTTAGCTTTTTATTTTAGCGCGTCCTCAAATTGGTTGAATGAGCATATATAGAGTACCAATCAAAGGAGCATGTCCCTCATCATTGTGAAGATATAACATTCAAAGGCTGCACAAGGCATTAAGATGGTACCACATGTATGTAATTATCTAGCTTAATTACAACTAGTATTAGTTCGATTTGATCGAGAAATTGGTGGAACTACATACCAATATACAATTGATTGGCCTTCCAGATTCTGAAGGAACACAATTTTAAAACCAGGATTGATCCAAAAGGAAAGTACTATTGAAAAACTAGATTGAAGATGGAGGCGATGTGGATCTTGAAGAGAAAATACCGTACTTACTTGGTGAAGGTAAATTGGTAAAGAAAAACTGTAATATTTGTACTTCTCTTTCAGCAGACCAAAACGCGAGATCAAGCACCAACCAGAATAACTCGAATGCTCCAGGAAGTCAACGCCAGATCAATTCATGGCCTCTGATTCCAAATTCAATACAAATCTAAGCAAGAACATGTATATACATTACTAGACGGCGTGAACTATTTTAACACCAGTCATATATAAACATTGCAAGGTGTCCATTCATCATTGGCGTGTAGTTCAAAATTATGTTTCCCAAATGAAAGAAATCGTTTGATGGGATTAGTTTATATTGAAGCATACGCGTATGATCTAAAAAGAGTAGACAAGTTTGTGGTTAAAACTTGCCAGCCATTGCATCTATAAATGTGTGCTCATAGGGAAAGAATCTAAATGAAATCGCATGATATTGCGGAAATCTTCTGCTAATCATGAGCTCATCTGCTCATTGATGAACAGTAAAATAAAAATATGAAACCTTTTTTACATGAAACATGAACAAATTCTCCTTGTGTGCAAAGTTTCATGACCATATGACATAGGTGAGGCTCGGGACAAAAAATCAGTGCTCCAAAATCAAAATTTTGAACATTTCTCAAAGCTTCAAAATTTTCAGAGCTCTCCCCATTTCATATCGTCATGACATTTTGCAGCACATATACAACTTCTTCATGCCAAAAAATTAACTTCTTTTTATTTTGTTTGCTATTTAAAAAAAATTAATGTCCATCCATAGGAGAAGATGAGCTCGAGCACCGAAGAACCGTCCTCCGTGATATTGTTCCTATGTACCAACAAAACTGAATGGTTTTGTATGATCATCTTATATATGTCTATTTGCATTGAGAATTCCCTCGCCAATTATGATCTGTAATAACCGTTGCTATGTTGCTACACATCAGAATTATCACGACCGGAAGGAAGCTTGTGCGACCGCGCGCTGTGTTTCCACTAAGGGGCTGCTCTCGAGAGACCAAAGGATTTTTCTGCAAACGTGAAACAGAGTGACAGGTCTCTTGCAACACCACAATCACCAGTCATGCGGTAGATGCAGATGAACAGTCATAAATGACTGATGTCAGAAGCACCATGATTACCAACTAGATAAGTCTGTTATGCAAAGGTCGTCTTATTCAAAACATCAATCATCACATCCCCTCTCTCCCACTTCACACCTCGGAACACACTGTTCTTATAGAGAGAAAGGCGCTTTCCCATCTTCTTAATCTGAAATGAAGGGGTACCCCCAGGAAGAGATCCAGTGGAGACAACTAGGCCTGTAGCTCAGAGGATTAGAGCACGTGGCTACGAACCACGGTGTCGGGGGTTCGAATCCCTCCTCGCCCACAGGCTTTA